GAGATGGCGGAGGGCGGGCGGGTAGAGCGCGGACGAAGTAGCAAACCCACCAGCAGGTGGCATGAGCGCGGTGCCCTCTGGGTTAGCTTGCGTTGTCAGGGGTGTCATTCCCTTTGCTCTTCAGCCCAACAGTACGGGATAGGCAGGACAGGGGCCTCCTTTCCTGGCCTTTAAGAAACAGAGGGTCGAAGCCGTGAGGGGCTTTCGCAGGCCCCGTCGGTCTGCGCCCTGCGCACCACCCCATACCACGGAGATGTCCACAAAGCCCGCGCACCATGCAAGACACGGCCCTGCACGCTCTGCTCCACACGCGAGCTCCAGACTCACTTCCTGAAAGAGAGTTCTGGGTTCTCCCGCAATAGTGCTGGACCCCTTAGGTTGTCAAGTGTCGCTTTTATCCCAGAAGCATAGGATGGTTCCTACGGGAAATCACCACGGACTGTTAGGGGCCTTAGCAAGTGTTGCTTAGAAAAGGCTGGGGTCCAAAGGCATGTCTGGGGACACCCGTGTCCATTGGGTTAAGAGTTGCTGTTACCCCACAGGCCACAGGAGGAACCTCCATAACGTCCCCTGAGTTGCCCCCTGGACTCCCCTGCCTGCTCTTGTGACCCCTGGCTCTGCTGCGGTTCCCACCTTGGGTTTGTCCACCTCTGGTTTTCTCGCTTTTACCTCTCTGTCCCCTTGGTCACCCATGCTCGGTCACTGATTTGATTCAGTGGCCCACCCTGCTTTTCCAGCTCCCCTTCTGACGACACGTAATGCTCCTGGCATGAACTCTTGGGCCTGATCCCCACTGTTTGTCAACTCCTGCCCCCGCCTTTCCCATCAAACACCCCCTACACCCCCAGCACTTTCCTGATTTAGTTTCTGCCAGTTTTCATCGTGTGAGGCCTGGGCTGGAGCTATTTGGAGAAGCTGTGAGGGCAGACCACAGGTTTGGTGCTGTCCACTCTCCTCCTGCACCCAACGCCCTCGCCCCTGTTCTCACCACGCTTGAGACAAAATACAGACAGTATGCGGGCGCCTGAGTGGCTCAGTCAGTTAAGCATCTGCCTTCCGCTCAGGTCATGACCCCAGGGTCCTGGGATCGAGTCCCGCATCCGGCTCCCTGCTCATCGGGGAGCCTGCTTCTCCCTCTCCCTCTGCCGCTCCCCCAGCTTGTGCTCTCTCTCTCTCTCTCTGAGACAAATAAATAAGTAAAATCTTAAAAAAAAAAAAACCAAACAGACTGTATGTGCACACGTGCCAACCGAAGGATGGGCAGGGGTGTTTATTGTGGCATCTCTGAACACGGAAGAGAAACAACCTAAATCTCTGTCAGTAGGAATAGGTTATGATACAGCCAAATAATAGGGGGAAAAAACAACTCTCTGTATATAGAAAGGAAATAATCTTGAAAACCAATTTTGAAGTGAAAAAAGCAAGAGACAGAACATATATAGATTTTGCTACCTTTTGTGTTAAAAAAAGAAAACAGGAAATGATATTTATATATGCATGGAGTTTCTCTGGAAGGCAACAGAAACAACGGCTACCTCTGGGGAGGGAACAGTAGTAACTGGGGGATGTGGTGTAGTGACATTTCCTTTCTGACCTTAGTACCATGTGTCTAGAACCAATTCAAAAATTCTAATTAAAAACAAGATAAACACCATATGTGTGGGAATGTGGAAGTAGATGGGGCTTTGGGGATCACCCCTTAGTTGTACAAATTAGGACAGTAAGCCACAGGGGTAAATACTTTGTTCAAATTCCCGCTACTGTGAAGTGACAGAGCTGTGACTAGAACCTTCGCTGTCATTTGGTGCTTATGCTCTAGGGAATGTGGCTTCCAAATCATATGTAGCAGAACTTATAAATGACAGGGTTGTACCCCAGGACAAGACATTCGAGACTCAGGTTCTTCATCTGTAAAATGTGCACAATAAAGTTGTTGTGAAGATGAAAGTAGGTAGTGCCTGTTATCCTATAGCTAGTTCCTGGCGTACAAAGCATCCGATAAATGCCAGTTACTGTTATTTCTTATTTTGGGCTATGATGGTGTTGGATGGGGCAGAGAGGGCTGGGAAGAAGGTTATCATAGAAGCATCTGGAGATGAAGGCTTGTAGGGTAAAGAAAAATAAAATAGAGAGGGAGAGAGACCAACCCCTTGGTTCTTATTTATTTAGGTAGTCACTAGAGATTCTGAGAGGGTAAATGATGGGGCTTAATGTGGAAAATGTATGTTAGGGTGTATGTGAGAGGGATATGGGGAGAGAAATTCCAGCCCTTTTCACTGCAAATTGTCACTAAAGGCCACCTGTGACCAGCACTGCCCCTTATGCTAAAAAATGAATGTACAACCCGGGACCATCTGGTGTGCTTCTTTCCATTTCTCTTTCATTCCTGATTACCCAAACGCCCTTGTTATTCCTGCTACCTTATTTCCTTTCCTATTTTCTCTTCTTCTGGGGCCATGGGTCAAGTGGTGACCCAAAGCCTTCCTTAGAGGGGTGCCTGGTTGAGCATCTGACTCTTGGTTTTGGCTCAGGTCATGATCTCAGGGTTGTGGGATCAAGCCCTGCAATGGGCTCTGTGCTCAGCGGTGCATCTGCTTGAGATTCTCTTTCTCTCCCTCTGCCCCTCCTCCTGCTTGTGCTCTCTCTCTCTCTCTTTTCTTTCTCTCTCTAAAATAAATAAATTTTAAAAATAAAATAAATAAAACTTAAAAAAAAAAAAAAGCCTTCCTTGGAGAGGCGCCAAACACATCCTGCTCTTCTGGGCAGCTTTGCTCACAGCACATCTGGGCTGAGGAGCTTAGCAGGAGACCCACAAAGCCAAGGCTTCTGGGACTCATCCCCCTGCCCTTCCCTTTCATGCCAGAAAGACACCTCCTTATAGGCAGGGGGCAAGGACATGGGGTTTCCTCTCTTGTTCACCACTTGATGACTGGTAATCATATTCCGGTCTAATTGGAAGGCAAATACCGTGTGAGGTTCAAAGCTCAGGTTCAGCGACTGGCCCTCTTGGGTTCAAATCCTCCTCCATGATTGCTCTGTGACTATGGGCAAGTTGTGTAACCTCTTTGCCCCAGTTTCCATCTGGGAAAATGGTAAGGACAAAATGAGATAATCTGGGTAAAAGGCAGACCACAGGACTTGGCTTAGTCAGTTCTCTATAAAGGTTAGCCTGACATAGTGGCGGCAGCCTCAGCTGTAGTAGAAGTAAGCAAAAGAGATAAAAGGCAACTCTGGGGATTCGAGGAAGGTCTGTAAGCACTGACCTCAAGGAATAGGGTCAGTACCACCAATTGCACCTGCATATGTGCCACTCACCCCCACCCCCTGTAAATGTCTCATCGTCACCGGCTGGATTATCAGTGAAGAATGCTATTTGGTCTCCGTAGTTCTGCAAGCAATGTGACTCTAATGAGGAGATTGTTCTAGTGGACAAATATCTTTTCCCGGTTCAGGGTGATACATGATGCATCAAAGCTTTTAACATATGCTATTATTACTAACTTATTACCTTATTTCAAAGACGTGAATATAAGACAAAGCTGTTTAACCCAGACAGAAGTCAATAAATAGTAGATATTTTTTTAAAAATCCTGCTTTGGGCATAAACATGTGAGGAATACCAGTTAGTTAGACTCTGCAGTTTATAATTGATTCTGATGGTTTGGGGTGGCATTTACCAATGTGATTATCAAGTGGATTCCTTGGTCTTGGAGGAAACTGAAATGTTCATCTGTATAACCAAAAAAAAAAAAAAAATAGACTGTGATCAAACAAATATTTTTATAAATTAAATCAGAGGAATCTCTTGTCATTCAGTTGCGCAGATGGATAAGGTGTGGGATGGGCCCTGCAGGGGCCCGCTCCGGCATTCCAGGGGGTGGCCTAACCTCTGGTTATAGAGCACGGCTTGAAGCAGCTGACTTTTCTGTTTGCACAGCACCTTGCACTTTAGAAAGAACTTTCCCATACGTCATTTTATTTATTGTGTAAGTTTTCTATGGCCTAAACTCATATGCTCTCTTCCTCGGTGGGCCCCATTTGAACGATAGACAACGTTATACTATGGTAGGATGAAAACCTTCGGCTTACCTGACTGTGGTCACTACATAGCTAAGGTGAGGAGAGATTTTTCAGATAATCATCAGGCTCATAGTCCTTCCCTGCCCTGGGATGAGCCCCAGGATGGTTTTCCAACACAATCTGAAATTCAAACAGGATAAACGGTTTTATAGCTTCTTAATAGGGAAAGTTCTAAAGATGCTTTTTATTAAATACATTTAAATATTGGTGCAGTTTCCTTAGTCTCTAAGGGAACTTCCTCTTTGAGAATGTCGCCTTACAACTGAAATCCGCACTGTGTTTTTATTTAGAACCCAGGAAGATTTCTGTCAGATAATCTCAGAGAGACTCAGTTCTCTGCAGAATGTGAGAACTGACACTGAAATCTAATCAGTCACCCCAGTTTCCAAAAATTCTTCCGCACGGATAGGTAACCTTTTATTAAAAATTAGGACAGTGCGGGGCGCCTGAGTGGCTCAGTCGGTTAAGCATCGGACTCTTGGACTCTTGGTTTGGGCTCAGGCCATGATCTCAGGGTCATGGGATGGAGCCCCATGTTGGGCTCTGCGCTCAGCGGGGAGCCTGCTTCAGATTCTCTCTCTCCCTCTGCCCCTCCCCCTCGGCTCCTGCCCTCACTCACACGAAGGCACACGCAATCTCTCTTTCACAAATAAATAAATAAATAAAATCTTAAAAAAAAATTGGGACAGTATGCATTCCTTTATACCCAAGTGTTGTGAGGAAAGTAGTTAACTTCTAGTAGATATGAATTTAGATTTATAGCATAAAAATAGCATCATACCCTATAGGAGATGTTCTGGAATATCACCCTCTTGACACAACAAAGCTTCTCAGTGCCCTTCGCGTAAGTGTGTCTAACGTATCTGGTCAAGGCTAAATTGCCTGCATTTGTGGGAGGTTTCTCTCTGGGCTCTGATTCCATGTTCAATATACTCCCAGCTCGAGCTCCATTTACGCTAAATCAACACTCTGTCACACTGAACTGGAAGACCAAACGCAGTGGATCAAGTTTACCACTGGATGCATGTAGGATATATTTAAAACTCATTGAAAACAACATAGTAGCTTTGTCTCCATGGCACCTCAATTTTGTGTGTGTCCCTACAGATTTCTCTGAGGAAACAGAACAGTCAGCAGAAATGCCCCTGGAAGAGGAAAACAGAGATGAAGATTTTTATATTCAAACTGTATTTGTTGCCGTGACCACGGGAGCATTCATGGCAAATTCAAGTTTTGGCGACATTGATGAGGATGAAAATCAGTTGGAGTTTGTATTAATGGTGTTGATCCCACTGGTTTTATTTGCTCTCTTATTTTTATCAGTGATAATCCTTGTAATACGCTATAAAAGAAAAAGGACCAAACAAGGTAAATATTTTGTATGTTCCCATTTCCGGACAATCGCTTCATGTGTTAATGAACAATCAGTAAAACAAAATATTTTTTGCTTCTTCTACACAGAGCCTTCTAGCCAAGGATCTCAGAGTGCCTTACAGACATGTGAGTATGATCCTAATGCCTGTCTGGAGTGGGTGATGGGGGAGGAAAAAGAAGGGAGAGGTTTTAAAGTTGAGCAACCAGGACTACATAAACTAGTAAATGATGAACATCCCCTTATTTTTCAAAAAGAGAATGGCTTCAGCCTAAAATGAGATTTAAAACACACAGCTCCCCTCTCTGTACCTAATCCAGATGAGGGCCTTGTCTAATATCGGCCAAGAGGTCCATGCAACATTCCCTAAATTGGAGGAAACGTTCAAAAGGGCAAAGCGGTGGGTCAGTTTGGGGTTGGGGATGGGAAGGCTGAGACCTTGGGCTCGTCTCCACTGGAAGAGGATTCTTCTGCCGTATATTCTGTATATTATATAATATATTCTGTATATTTCCGTCGAAGATACTGTTTTCTCCTCCATGCCCAATATGATTGTGAAAAAGCCTGAGTAAAGCATTGTTCTTATTCTCATTAAAGCTATGCTAACTTTTGTATGAAATTCCTAGTTGGCTGAAGATTACCAGCATCAAGCTGAAACCGATCTGATAGAGAATTCCCTAGGTCAGAGATACCTTTGCGGGTATTCAGTTCCAAATCTAGGAGCAACAAATACTAGGTGTCAGGGTGCTTCTAAGTCCAAAACAGACTTGAGGACTTTTGGCTTGTGCTGGTAAAAATGACTCTAATTAGACTTTTTAAAGTTGAAGCCTTTAGTTATTCCAAAAATCACTCAACGGATGGGACTATCTCTAATGAGCTACATATTGATATGTGCATACAAAAACTCACTGTATATCCCTCACACTCACTAACAGGGCACCTCTGGCTTTGAGATCATGCCCTTGGCCTGCAGGCCTGGCTCACTCTCCTTGTATCAGGAGAGCTTTAAGCTCTCGGCAGGAGCTATAAATGGTCATTTTCCATTATGCCAGCAGGTATGGTAAAAGTGAGCTAGGGAAGAAGCACTGATGTGCATTACCTTTCTTGGCAGGAGCCAATATAATAGATTCCAAGGGAGTCGAAAAAACCACATGTTTTTCCACTGCTTGAAATTTCAGGGTGACCTAGTAACAGTGGTCACATGGGAACTCCTTTGTAAGCTAAAGAAAAAGATAAAGCAAACGGAGCTGCCTGGACCCCATTTTTTTAACCTCAGGGACAGTAAGAATTTCCTGCCTAAACCATAGCCCTGCAGCCAGTCTTACCTAATGATATTATGGGATTTGGAGGGGGGAATGTTGGGGGTGTCTGGTCAAATGTGCCTGCTTTCAAGGCTCTAAATACAGAAAGGGATTTTTCATGGAACTTCGTTGTGAGCATCTCCAAACTCAAAAGCCATTCACCATCAAGAACTGGCCTCCTTCTCAGAGGACTCATGCATCGTGCTGGAGCCACACTCCCAAGTATTTGCTATTCCCGGAGCCTGGCTTATACACACGTTCATGATGCTTACATGCCTGGTTGACACTACTCTTCTGTTTGGGATTTCCTTCTTGTCTGCTTGGCAAACTGCCACTCCATTCTTCCATGCCCAGTTCTGAAGTTTTTATGAAGCCTTGAGTAATCACTCCTTGGGCAAAATGAATCACCACCTCTTCTGTGTTCTCCCTTACTGTGCACAGCATTTATGTTGCGTAAGTTGGTGACTTGTCTTTTTTCTTTTTTTAGTCTCTCTTACTAGGTTATGTTCTCTTTAAGGTCTGAGAGAACCAAGAACTCGTCTTATTTATCTTGTTTAATGGTGTGATGTGGGGGTTAGAGTATGGGCTCTGGAACCGCACTGCCTGGTTGGCTTTTTTCCCTAGCTCTACGACTTCTCTGATTCAGTTTCCTCATCTGTGAAATGGGCAAATCCAACACCTGGCTTACAGAGCCACGGTGAGAAGGAAATGGATTCATCTATGTAAACCACTTTGGAAAAAGAGTAGCTGGCATATTGTGTTAGCTGCTGCTTCTTATTATTATTGCCCCTTTGACCTGACACGGTGTCTAGCCCAACACATATATTAGCTGCTCAATACATGTGGTTGAATGAACGAGTTAATGAAACAGCGTTAGTACTTTTTTAAAAGAACACTTACCTATTCTCAGAGATAAAAACAAATTTGAAACTTATTCTTAATACAAACTGGCACATTCTTTTTGTTTTAAAATATGCCTCACTTTAAGAGAAACAACACAGAGATCTTAAATTTTCAAAACAATTGCTTATCACAAGTCTTGATAGAGAGAGCTTAATTTGAATATTTCCTTTAATATAGATACAGATGGTTAACTGCTTAACACATGGATATCTCTTCAAACAAACTAAATGCTGAAAAGTTAAGCACTACTGTCTGCCAAAGTCCACCCATTCATATTTAACATTATAACGCAGATCAATAAAAGGAGAGGGGCGCCTGGGTGGCGTAGCGGGTTAAGCGTTGGACTCTTGATTTTTTTTTTTTTTTCTTTATTTGACAGAGAGAGACACAGCGAGAGAAGGAACACAAGTAGGGGGAGTGGGAGAGGGAGAAGCAGGCCTCCCGCGGAGCAGGGAGCCTGATACGGGGCTCGATCCCAGGACCCTGGGACCATGACCTGGGCCGAAGGCAGATGCGCAACGACTGAGCCACCCAGGCGCGCCTGGACTCTTGATTTTTGACTCAGGTCATGCTCTTAGGGTTGTGAGATCGAGCCCCACATCAGGCTCCATGCTCAGCGGGGAGTCTGCTTAAGATTCTCTCTCCCTCTCCCTCTGTGTGCTCCCCCCCAGCTCTCTAAAAAATAAATAAATCAGTCTTAAAAAAATAAATAAAAGGAGACTGTTCAAATTAACAAAATTTGATTTAAGTATTTTTTTCCAGGAAAAATAAAACTGTCACACTGGGTCAGACCAGCGTTTTGCTTGGAAAGCATCCAAAACGATGTTTTGTGGGAGGGCATGGATGATGTCGCCTCAGAAAGTTAGAAATAGACACATTGGTTCTCCCCCCACGTGAATAGCGCCTGGTGTGTTCTTCTCCAGCAGGAAGTAAGCCTGCACATTTGATGACTGGGGAGGACCCGGCCAACACCTTTAGAAAGAGCCCTTCTTCTGACCGGCAATCACGTTTTTTTTCCTTTGGGCTTGTCCATTTTCAAGTCCAGGAGAAGGGAAGTGCTGGGCGGTAATTTGCTGTTCAATTGCCCTTCTTCCTAGATCTCCAGGAGTTACATTTGTAGCTGTTCTTATTTAACATTTATTAAGGGTCTCGATGGGCTGTGTCTCTGTGTTAGCTGCAGGCATCCCTTTAAACAGGCTGTGGCGACGTGAAGCCTGGCTCGGCTCAGAACATCTCCAGAAAGACTCTCTTGCTCAGGGTTCCGCACGGAAAAGAAAATCTAAGCCAGCTGGTCCCCTGTGGGGCTCCGCGCCGCCCCCCGCCCCCCCCCCCCCCCCCACGCAGCCCAGCGATCCCACCACCCACCACCCCACCACCGGAGGTGCACAGAGGAGAGTAGCTGACAGCGGGGGTACCGGCGTGCTAAGTGGATGTAACTGGGGACTGGAGGCAGAGGACAAAGTGGGGAGGAGGGTGTGACATGGAAGGGCTGTAGGAGGGAAAATGGAATCGAGTGCAGGTGGGGGGTTGGGTAAGAGGTACATTTGCCCTCCAGTTGCAGAGGGAGTAGATGGCTATTAATAAAGAGATAGAGGCCAGGTGGAGAGGTGCGGGCAGGGCCTGATTGCTGGGGACATGTAATTGGTCTCCCTCCTGGCTTAATGCTCGGCTCTGGTGAGCTCTCCCAGATGTTTTTCTGTTGCCATGGTGGCTGGGCCGGGGGTAATGGTCTCGGAGCAGGAGAGAGGAGGCCACAGAAGGCTTTTTGCTCTGTTTGAATACTGATTACAGGAGCTTCGCATTTGGTGCATCTGGAGCACTTTTGTAATGGGTTTTTAAACTTTTCCATCATCTGCATGCAGGGTTAGCTTTTGCTCTCCACAAAGCCTGCGGGCACTCAAATTGTAAAGATAAATCCATGCCTTCTACGGTGGGGCTGTGGGGCCACTTGCTCTCTGAGAAATTAGTGTGGGTGTGTGTGTGTGTGGGGGGGTGTTACTAAGCAGGAAAAGAGGGGGAGGAAAAGGGGGGAAGTGACAAAAGAGGGGGATCTTTATGAGTCACCTGTAGGGGAGGCTCAATGTGCAGGGACTTTATTTATAGTAAAACCCCTTAAGGAAATATCATGTCAATTTGAGATTAAAATTATATAAAAAATATAAAATGAATATACTCCCCTTTCCCCAGTCCAAGTGTCTGAGGATCAGGCACCTGCAGGGAACTTCAGATTCCTACCAGGGGCCAGAAAGACATAACCCAGTGGCCCTGGGAGGTAGGCAGTAATGGCACAAAACTTCCATCTGTGCCTAGCTTTCCTGGATCAGCAAGGCCGTGAAAGCTTGCCAACCCTCAGGAAATGACAACGGCTCCCAGCTTCCGGGAGCTTGGTTCCCGGGGCTTGCTGGCTGTGTTTCCTCGATGGGGACCTGCATTTCTGCAGGCCTGGCGAAAAGAGACTTCTGATTGCCAAGGATCGGGAATATCTGACTATTCGGTGGACCTCTGCAAAGTGGTTTGCTTCTCAATGGTTTTCACATGGTAGAAGGTGCTGGGGGCCTATGCTATCCACTCACATGACATGACTGCCTCATTTCTCTGGATGCATTGGTTCCCCTGCCAAACAAAACAGAACTGGAGCTGGGGCAATGCGCCCTGATTCTTGCCACATGTTCATCTGGAGTCTGATGGGCATTTGACAGTCTGTTACCTGGTTCTCACCTCAACCACAGCAACACAGAGCGGCTTTGCTCAGAGCTTCGATTTTACGATATTACGAAGTCCAAAATTGGGTGTGAACTTAATCCGCGTTGGACCATCCAGATTAAGACCTACTCATTTATTCAATACATATTTACTGGGTGTTTGCCAGGTACTGTGCTAGCTGGATGGGAGGTGAGGGGATATCAGTGCGAACAAGACAGACGTGATGTGCGTCCTTTTGGAACTATGTTTTAGCGGGAGAGACAGACAAAATTAAGCAGATGGATTGATCAGTGACAAATTGTGGCAAATGCTGTGAAGGACCAAGAAAGGTGCTGGGCTGGGGAACAACTGGAAAGGTGGGCCCTACTTCAGATGTAGAGTGCTCCTTGAGGAGAGACTATAAACTGAGACCAGAAGGAAGTGAGGAGTCCAGCCAAGCAAGCAGCAGGGGTGAGGATAGAGTTCTAAGGGGAGCCCTTGATGGAATATACCACAACCTGTTCCGGGACAAAGAGACAGTCCCAGTGTTGGGCTTGATGTGTCACGGGAGATGCAACAGTGATGTTTTGAACTGGGACATTTTGGGTAGGGGGTCAAGGAACCATCCCTCTTGTCTGGCTCCTCCTTGCCTTCCCTCACCACTGTTTTCTTCCACATATGGATTAAAAGAATAAAAAGGGATAAACTTCTGATTTGAGGTAAACACTCTCAGAGGACCATCTTATCTCTAAAAAAAACCAAACAGATTTCATGTGGATTAGGACCTCGTTTCAATGTGGCACATGTTTGACTCAGAGGTTAATTATTGCTCCCTTAAAAATGCGATTTGAAGTCATCTCTTGTGTTTGTAAAGGAGATTTCAGCTGTTGTTGAAATAAAAAGTTGTTATGGACAGTGAAAGCTAACATGGCCTTTATTTTTTTTTTCTCTTTAGGTGAACTGGGAAGTGAAAACATCAAAGTGTAAGTCCCCGCTACCTCTGACCCAGCTCAGTGAGGACAAGGGTATCAGGGAGAGGAGCAGATTAGAAAGCCATCTGCTTTTTATGAGTTTTTGTTCTGACCCCCTTCAGGGACCCTTGAGGGGCCTCTTGCTTCCTGGGCCCTGGGAGAGGGCCCTGAGCAGCCTACGGGGAGGCACGCTCGTCCCCCAACCTCAATTCAGTGGGGGATCTGGGTAAAGAACAGGGTCCTCTTCAGAAAAAACTAAATCTTTTTGACTACTACCAGTTCCAAATGCATTGTAGTTCAATATTCTGACACTGGGTGTATTTCAAGGACATCGGTTTGTTCATTCTTATTAACATGTTATCACCGGGAAAGATACGTTCCCTGGTATTAAAGGAGGAGAGCCCTGGTAGAAGCCTAAAGTTCATGTGGCAGAACCATGGTGGGGTGGGCGGGGGAGAGGAAGGAAGGATGGTGCAGGGGGAGAGAGGGAGGGAGGGAGGAGAAAGAGGGGAGAGGTAGGGAGAAGGAGGGAGGGAAGTGGGGGGGGGGAGAGAGAACAAGATTCCACCAGAAGAGTGTTCTGGGGCCCTGTCACCACCCCCGCCCCCGCCTTCCCTCTAGCAACCTTGCTTGTTCAAACACTTTGCTCACTTCCTCTCCACGGTGTCACGCCCATGCTGTGGTTCAGAGCTGGTGGTCCTCCTCCCCGCCCCCAGTTACATTAACCAGGGGCTTCTTTCCCATAACCGTGGGCGCTGAGCCCTGATAAGTGAGTGCGGTGGGTTTCTGAAAGCAAGGGCTCTAGTTCTCCATGACAGAAAAGCCTGGGAATTGGAAGGAGAGGTGAGGAAAGCAACCTGTTCACGGTGGCCTCTTGACCTGGGGCCCAGATCAGAAACCCCAAAGAAAGGGAAGTGAAATTAAGCAAGGCTAAAATGCTCAACAGGGCAACTCCCCAGAGGATCCTCACGGTGGAAGCCTGTTGGCTCAACGTTGTGCCTTCTGGGGGGCAGTCAGGGTCTCCTGGGCTCCCCTTGAGCTGCGTGCCCTCCATCTTTGGATCAGCGATAGAGGAAGGTTTATTTTCGTTCTAGCCTTTCCTCCATTTAGAGTTTGGTACGTGTGAATAGGGCAACCCCCCCCCCATCTGCCCTGGAGTGTCACACACGACCTCAAGTTCACCTTTCTCCCACTCAGCATTCCAGGCTCTCCCAAAAGGAAACTCTGCCCACCACACTTCTTTTTGTTTTAACACGGTTTTTGCTCTCTCTCTAGCCCCATTTTTGAGGAAGACACGCCCTCTGTTATGGAAATCGAAATGGAAGAGCTTGACAAGTGGATGAACAGCATGAATAGAAATGGTACGGTCCCCTAAAGTTCTTTTTCTGTCTTCTCTAGTATGAGAAGACTGTCAGAGTTTCAGAAATACCCCGTAAATCCTGGAGTGTGTCAGGGTGAGCCCAAGCCACATTAGATTTGGAGCATGCAAACGGTGAACCTGGGTCTGACCATCGTTAAAGACTCCGTTTGATTAGGCCATCACTTGGTGCCCTTGGTTTTTATTGTTGTACAAGCTTTTCAAATGGCCTCGTTAAAGAAGCCGATGGTCTTTTTTCAAACAAGGAACTCTTCAGGTCCAAATTATCTGGAAAAAGTTAGCATCTGGCATTACCTTATATATGGTAGAATTTAGAGATCTACGATTTTAATCTGTATATGGATATAAAACTTTACCACATATAGTTTACACAGATCCGTGCTGTCCAGTACAACAAATGCTAGCCACATGTGGCTATTTAAGATAAAATTAAAAAAAAAAAAAAGAAATAAAGTTAAAAATTTTGTTCGTCAGTCACTCTAGCCACATTTTGAGTGCTCAGTAGCCACTTGCGGCTCATAACTACTATATTATACAGCACAAGTTTAGAACATTTCCATCATATAGAAAGTTCTATGGGACAACACTAATGTAGTAGTATTATAGATGTGCTCATGAACTTGTTGATATCTGGCAGTAATTGTATGTGTTCTTTACTTTTCGTTGAATCAATGTTCAGATTTAAAAATGATGGTAGCTGTTTTTTTCCTTTTTAAAGTTCCATTTAAAAAGTCAATAAATTATTTTCATGCTCGGATTAAATTAATAAGATCCAATATTTATATTATCATATCGGTCGCATTTTTCACATTCGTCTTTAAAAAATACTCTGGGGTCTGTCAGATTCAACAAGAGTGAAGTCCAAATCCAGAGACCTGTTATTAGAATTATTGTACCAGAGGCTTATCAACCTAAGCTTTCCAAAAGATTAGAACCATTCAATGAACTTGTGTAATTTCCAACAGAACAGTGTTTCATAGCCCAAAATGGAGGAAAGAATGGCCCCGTAGAGCATTTAAGGGTAGGGGCGGGTCACTGAGATGATCCTGAAGGTAGTTTCATTTTGTTATTTTTAGTTTATAAAATATACCTACATAATAGAATTTGGAAAATGCAAAAAAAAAAAAAAGTAGAAAGAAGAAAAGAATATACCACCCAAAGATAACCTCTCTTAATCATTTGCCATATTTCCTTCTGTGCCTGGGACAAAATCAGGATCCTGTTACACTCACTAAACCAGAAACCTAGAAAAAGGCCTTTCTTTTTAACAACCACAGCAAAGAGTTATTTTGACACATGCGTGATGGAGCCGATGGATTTTGTTTTTCCTTAAAAATAACTGGGGCATACATAATAGGAGGGAACTCTGACGACTTTAAGAAGGTTAGTTGTTCCTCACTTTACCTGCTGCTTTTTGATTGGGCATCGTGACTGAAATCATTCTGCAGGCACATCAGGACCTCTGGTAAAGCTATTTTATTCCAGTGTCTAACCTGACACATGCAGATTCTAGCTTTTGGAGCAACGGTGGGGTTCTTCGGGGACTGAATAACCAAGCAGGGAGGCATTGTGCCCTTTCCAACAGGGCCAGGGCCATGCTGAAGTCTTGTGTCTGCGCTACTGATGCTTTTTCCATTTCAAGAGCCTTGCCATCATTAATCTTTTAACCTCGGGAACTCCCTAGTGAGGCCATTTCTGCACAAGTAACCATACAGATCAGGGAAATGTGCTGCTCAAATGTAAGAGTTTTGTGGATAGAAAATAGAATTTTGGTGACTAACAATGAGTTTGCTTTTTTTCTGTCCTAGCTGACTGTGAATGTTTACCTACTTTAAAGGAAGAAAAGGAATCAAACCACAACCCAAGGTACTTCTAGTTTCCACTATTGATGGTAGGTGTGTGGGGGAGGGGAGAGGAGACCACAGTAGAGCCCTTTTGCTTACCGTCTCTGTGCCTGTAAATTTTATGGGACAATTTACATGGGTATATGTGTGTGTCATGAGGAGAAAAGAAAGTGTGAGTTATGGCAAAGAGGAAAATGTAAAGTAAATATCCTAGTGACTCCATCTTTAGAAGTAAATTGGTATTGGCATTTTCTTGCCCTTCTAAAGAGATGCTGTTGTGTCGGCTTCCGTTTTGTCATAAAACTGTGATTATAACAAACTAGAGGTTTGGTTAGCTTGGATGGAGAGATGTTTGGTAAGGAAAACAGATGGAAGTGGCCATCTTAAAGGGGATAACTGTAAATAAGAGTGAGCAAAATGAACATATTAAAAACAAACAAACAAACAAAAAAAACACAAAACCCCACCTGGATTGGATTGTTTGTTATAGGAGAGAAATTAAACGAGAATTTGATAAACATATTCCATCCTACCACTAGGTGGCTCTGCCTGATAGAAGATTTTGGTGTCTAGGGCTTGGCGTGGTTCAGCACACCGTAATCTTGTTTAAATGTTGTTCTCTTTTGTGAGGATGGAAATGACCATGTTTGGGGTGTTTTTGATCAGAGAATTGTTTGGTCAGGATGCGAGAAGTGTCACAGGAGAAAGGATTGATGATGCAGCAGCTTGGGTACTTGTCCCATATGGCAGCACTGTGATTTGGGGGGTGCCAAGTTGTTGGTAGGGGTGACTCAGAGGGGATCGGGGAGCAGAGAACGTGACTGAGCCTGTGACCGAGACTTTACACTTCTGTGGGAATAAATAGAAGAAACTTTCAGAGCAGGATAAACACCACCTGTCTTCTCTCCCTCCATGTTAACCAAAGTTCCTGTGCCAGTCATCTTAAATGTTTCCAGAATGCAGTCACTTGTCACTGGGCAGTCCCTGAGGCTGGAGCATCCCAGGGGAAGACTGATAGTCGATAGTGATTGGGCAGTCAGATGTTTGTCTTCTGAACCCTTATTCTGCACCTTTCCCTCAACCTCATCTGAGAGGCGCTCACCCCACATCTCACACAGCCGGCCTCCACAGTCTTACTGAGGCAATCCTCAGCTTTGACGTGGAAATTCACTTCGTATTGAAGATTTCAGTCATTATTATCTCTCCAGGTATCTGCATGTTAAAAATTCATCACTGGCTCAGAAAAGGTTCTATACTATTTAAATGAGATGCCAGATATTAACAAGCAGACGAAAGAAGAAAATGTTAGGGGGAGTATCACAAAGGAAATTACAAAGGAGTATTCTCTCCACATTTTAATCTTACCTAAAATTGAGTCATTGTGTATGTTCAGTGTGGGGCTCACCCACATCACCACCGAAACCCTATAAATATCTTGTTAGCGTATCTCTGACCGGCACCCTCAACTGATGCGAAACATGGTGGTTTTTATGTACCTGCCTCTTGATCTTTGAAATTATTGGCAACATAGAAGAAACTGAATGTTAGAGGATTGTATGGTTGTGAAAGCGTGTTAGAAATCACATTTCTGAAATATTGAAAGGTTGGTCTCGGTAATTAGCTTGAGCTCACTTCTGCCTGTAAGACAAAAAGGCTTAACCTATTTGGAGGGCTGCTTTATGCTAAACTATTGTTTTTAAGGTGCATGTCTACATTCCTCCGTTCGTCCAAAACAATCTGGCTTCAGTTCGCAGGATGACAGTCTGGCTTCACCTCATTCCCACTCAGTGAAGCCAGCACCAGCGTATGGAACCAACAGTGGCAAGTCCCAAGGCTTTGGTACTAAAGGGACTTTCTGATTACTCAAAGAGCAGTACAAGATTGTAAAGCAAATCTAATTTTTAGTCACTAAAAACTCAGAAAGATACAAAGCACTTGGAACAAAGCCTGCCACAGAATAAAGTCTCAAGAAGTATTGGTATTATTATTATTTTTAAAGGTTTTATTTATTTGTCAGAGAGAAAGAGAGAGAGAGAGAGCACGAGCAGGAGGAATGGCAGAGATGGAAGCGGGCTCCCCGCTGAGCAGGAGCCTGGCATGGGACTCGATCCCAGGACCCTGAGATCATGACCTGAGCCCAAGGCAGACACTTAACCCACTGAGCCACCCAGACATCCCTGGTATTATTATTATTAACTTAAAATTGATATACATAAATTCACTGCCTTTTGGGCTAAGGAACCCATGTCCAAGGGCCCAGGCACATCCATATTAGTGGGTTGGGGCAATAAAAAAAAAAAAAAAAAAAAAAACCTTTCTATTTTAGAGCAGTTTCAGGTGTACAGCAAAATGAGCAGAAATTACAGAGAGTTCCCATATACTCCCAACCCCCCCACACGCACAGCCTCCTAGACTTGGTGTCCCACACCAGAGGGGTACATTGGTTACAATCAGCTAACGTACGTTGACACGTCATTATCCCCAAAGTTCCCCATTGGCTTTTACGTCTGCGACTCATCCTTCCCCTACCATTCAAGTAGCGTGCAGGGGAACGCAACGCTTCAGAAAGTACATAACAGTCACTGGCGAGTGAGCTTAGTAGAAAACACACGTCTCGATCCTCTTGCTACATTAAGACTTCCAGAACCCATTTAAAGGGTTCAATCCTTCTTGATGCTAGAAAGGCACCCTGACATGGAACCTCTGTTATATATAAAGTCCACGTGCTTCTGGAGAAAGGACTCACTCTGGTCACCACCCTACCCTTAATGCACTGCACTGGGTGTGAAGACTTTTCTCATTAGGGTCCATAGTCTCAGGTTTTTCAGGTCTTTTCCCGCATATCCCACTGGCCAGCCATTGTTCATTACTTGGCCCTGTCCTCATGGAATGGACATTTTCCTTTATGCTATGGAATCTAACATTTAGCACAGGACTTTCATAAGGGCCAGAGACATACAAAGCACTCTGGGAAGTTTATACTATGGTTTTCATGTTTTTAGAAAGTCAATAAGGAAATATAACAAAGGAATTGTGGAGGAGGGGGAGTTTTATGTTATTTCCTACCTTAGCATTTTCCCCCTAATTCTTGTCTGCTATGGGTGAGGCGTTGTGAGAGTAGTGGTGGAATAGTGTCCAGGGGGTAAGGCGGGGCAGTGGGAGGTGGGGAGAGGTCTGCCCTGGAGTTGAAGAGAATTTCATCAGTGGCGTTGTTAAGCTTTGCCAGCACTTGGTGATAACAGAAAGCAGATCCGTTGAGTTGGTTTTATTATTGTTTAAATTCTCGGTAAAGAATGCCTTCCCTTATTGTCTACCCCAACCCTTCCAGCACCTTCCTGAATGCTGCTAGATAGTTGTAACCACATGAAGGATAGAATCCCTTTCATCACAGTGCTTAAGGTCTAGCCAGCCTGTCCCTTCTTCCCGAGGCCTTTATAGTTCGACAATTTCCTGCAAGTGCAGTGTTTCTGTCTCGGCAAGCTTAGGTGAATAACCACAGAAGAGGAATCGCAAATATTAGCCAAGTGTCCATCTTCTTTCCCTTTATGCCAATTGGCCACAGTGATGAGTTTATATTGAGAAATAGCATTGGGGAAGACTAGGGGAAAAATCGATTTGGTTCCATCCAAGTGGATTTAGAATTTTGAAAACACACTTATAACAAAAAATAATAAGACATTTATATAGCATTTTATACATACCAGAAGCCTAGGTACTATCACCTTGGAAGTTAGCTAGTCAGGGTAAATAACAGCATACCTGTTCTGGTTTTGTAATAATTCTATTGTTTACTTTATGATTCATGTCTGAGCTCAATGACATAAAAATGGATCACTTCAGTATTTCTCAGGAAAACCCAGGTTAGTTTAATAAAGAATTTTGTGAATTTCTTCCTGTTTCTGCTCTTCTCTTTTTTTTTTTTTTGAAAAGTATGATTGTTGATGTAGTTTTGCCAAATATATTTACTGAACACCCAGTATGTGCCTGGCATGGTCTACATCATGCCAGTTCAACCAGTTAAAATGAAATAATCTGTACGAGTAAACCTGGAATCAGAGAGGTTAAGTGACTTGTCCAATTTACACAACAAGTTTATGACAAAACTCAATGTATCTTTTAAAACTACATTTTCATTTACTTTTATTAATTGGTTAACATAAGAGAGATTCTACAAATTAGGAGACAAATTAGAGATTAAAAAATAGAAGGGACACTCAGCAGCAAGGAAGGCAGCCACCGTGAGGTGAATACATGACAGTATCTGGTGGATGACGTATCCATCACCTCGTGTAGTCATTGACAAGACTGAACCATTAATTGTGAGAAAACAGCAGGTTCGGTGAACTGTTTTTGCCTCTCCACTCAAGTAAATCTCTGTGGCCACTTTCCTTCTTTCCTTTCTAGTCTCTCAAAAGTCCTTTAAAACTCAACAGGTATTCAATAGGAAGTATGTTGAGTGGCAACTGATTTCCCTCAAATCTGAGCTCTGTTTTATGAGGGATACAAAGTAACATATGAGGGGCACAAAGTAACCGCTTATAATCCTGCAGGATGATAACCTCAAATAATATTGTTGAAATGCAGGTGTGTGCGCGCGCATGCACGCGTGCGTGCGTGTGCATGTGATGGTGAGGGAAGATGTATTAAATTGAATAAACCACAGCATCGCTTGAAGAGCGGCCCAGATTATGTCTGCCGTGGGCATGATCTATGTGTGTTGGATGAATTTTAGACCTGGCTGTGATGTTAGCCAGATGTGTGACCTCTATAACTCCCCCCGCGCAGGCCAGGCCCGTTTCGGAAAGGAGAAGGGAGGTTATACTGACGAAGAGAAAGGGAGTGTGATCGAATTGTTACGTGACTTTGTGTTATACTGAGCTCTGCGCTGCTCCAAGCTTTGGAGCATCATGACACGAGAAAGGTTTGATGCAGGTTTATTGCCATCTTCGGAGCTAGGAAACATTCGCCAAGGTCAGACGGAGGGAGCGCTAGAAGATAAACTGGTCAGGAGACCAAAGAAGGCTGATCTGCTCCCGCCTGCGACCCAGGGGCAGTTAGGAAACGAGGTGTTCAGAGCGGCCTCTGGCCTCGTTTCGCTGCTGGCGTTCCAATGAAACGCTTTCTTAAAAATCGTAAGATGATGCTTTGTCATCAGTTCAATTTGTTTTTACAGTTTGTAGGCCTGTTACTATAAAGACTTTTGGGGAAGCTGTCCCACATGCTTAAAATATCTCTATAACACTCTGAGAAAAATTGCTGGCTAATGCCACTGTCGCCGGCCAGACGCCAGAGCCGCCAGAATTAACACGGAGGCAGGCACAGAGGTTTGAGGCAGGATCCCTGAGTTTATTTGCAATCGTGGGGCAGTTTGCCAAGGTATTTTTCACAGGGAACTCTAGGATTTGCCAGCGTTAAACACACCCGGGCTTCCTTGATCAGTTCGCACGGATGACAGCAGGGAACACGTCTAACTAAACGAAGGGACGAGCGAGCGAGAGAGAATGCCTCCAGGCTCATGTGGGGGCCAGATCCCGGGGCGTGGACTTCCTCCCAGGCCCAACGGCCACTGTGCCTCCACCCCGGGGAAAATGGGCATGTGAGAGTTGTGACACTAGGCATGACCCAGTGCCCCACAGCTGCAGCAACTGGGGTCCGCTTTGGGAGCATCTTGGGTGGCAGGCCCCCTGCCCTGCTCACCCACCCCAGAGCTGAGCTGAGCAGTGAGTGCGGCGTGTGCGCTCCCGGGCTCTTTGGTGCTCACAGTGAACAGTTGGGGTTGGTGGACGGTGGCACACACTAAGCCTTCCAAATGCTCGTAGGGGGTTCTCCACAGACCCCCTGTGAGTACTTTCTCCTCAGAAATGGAAAGTGTGTTTTTGGAAGATGGTTTCTGAAAGCCTTTGGATGTTTGAAGCTGTGTTGAAGCTTGTGTTGAACCAATAACTATTTGCTTGCATAGAATCTGCAAAATAAGAAGAACCTATGTTCATGGGTTTGTATGTCAGGCCGGTAGCGTGCCTTCCTTAGATTTGCTCACTTATTCTTTTTTTTTTTTTTTTTGAGATTTTATTTATTTATTTGACAGAGAGAGAGAGAGAGCACAAGGAGGGGGAGCGGCAGGGAGAGGGAGAGGGAGAAGCAGGCTCCCCGCTGAGCAGGGAGCCCGATGCGGGGCTCGATCCCAGGACCCTGGGATCATGACCTGAGCTGAAGGCAGACGCTTAACCGACTGAGCCACCCAGGCACCCCTCACTTATTCTTTACAACGACCCTATAAAGTGCATGGCATTATTATGTATGTTTTGCGGGTGAGAGGAAATCAGAAAACTTAGGCCAAGAAAGGTGCCCTTGCCCAAGGTCACCCAGCAAGGAAGTGGCTGAGCCCTGATTCCAGCTCTGGCCATCTGACCCTGTGCTCTTACCTACCGTGTAGAAGAGCCTCTGTTAGCACATACTAGCATGTGCACAACCCTAAACGCAACACGAGCTGCGAAATACCGAGGCATAAACTTAACCAAAAAAATGCATGGTGTAACATAAAAAGAAATTGTTCAGTTTTATGGAGGGACATAAAAGATTCTTAAAAATAGACAGAGACATACTGTACTCCTGAAAGACTCCACATTGTAATGATTAAAATTTAGAGCTGTCTCATGCTTTAGATTAGACTCCAAATGAGTTTAAATGTTGAAAAAAGAAAAAAAGTCCAGAAAAAATATAGATAAATATTATTATAACTTTAAGGTGGGGATGGGTCGAAAGCATGCCACACAAGTTAAAAACCATATCGGGAAAGCACAGATGTATGGGTGCCAGGGTGGCTCAGTCAGTTAAGCATCCAACTCTTGATTTTGGCTCAGGTCTTGAACTCATGGTTGTGGGATGGAGCCCCTCGTGGGACTCCACACTCAGCGGGGAGTCTGCTAGAGAGTCTCTCTCTCTCTCCCTTTCCATCTCCCCCTCCCCCTGCACTCGCACACACTCTCACTCTCTAAAATAAATAAATAAATCTTTTTTAAAAAAGCATAGATTTGAGCTACATTAAAATCTCAAAATTTCTGTACTTCAAAAAACACAATAAATAGAATGAGAAGGAAGAGGAAAACTGGGGGAAAGTATTTGCAAAATATATATATAATGAACAAAAATTATCATTCTTCATACGTGAACCAATAAAAAGGTAATAGTCCCATTTTAAATATGAGTAAAAACTATCAATAAGGAATTTAGCAAAAGAAGGAGTCAAAATTACCAATAGAGCTTTAAAAAAATGTTTACTTTTCTTAGAAATCATTAAAAAGTAAAGGTAAATATGATACTATTTTCACCTATTGGATCAATAAAAAACGAGAATAATAATATCCAGTATTGGAAAGGATGTGGGGAAAGGAAATCTCCCTAAAGAAAGTGTGGGGAGGAAGGTAAACTGTGCAAAAATGTGTAGGGAAGGGGGTAATTTGACAATGGGCTGTTCAAGCTTTAAAATGGCATACATTTTATTTTCTTTTTAAAGATTTTTTTTTATTTATTTATTTGAGAGAGAGAATGAGAGAGAGAGCGTGAGAGGGGGGAGGGTCAGAGGGAGAAGCAGACTCCCTGCCGAGCAGGGAGCCCGATGTGGGACTCGATCCCGGGACTCCAGGATCATTACCTGAGCCGAAGGCAGTCGCTTAACCAACTGAGCCACCCAGGCGCCCTCAAATGGCATACATTTTAACCTGTCAATTCCTCTTCTAGGTATGTTTAGGCAAAGGTAACAATTGGAAGTGTGCAAAGATTTTTTTATACTAAATAAAAACTAAAAGTCAGAAATAGAGTCTACATGTTTAACCATAAGGATATAGTTTAAAAAATGGTTTTTGGTCTGGTGACACAATGGAAGTCTCCGTAGCCACTAAAAAGATATGGAATATTTATTAGCAAGGAATGACGTCTGTACGTGAAGGAAGGTGAGAAAAGCAGATTACAGCACGAAATGCATAATATGATCCCATTTTTGTACCAAAAAAAATGTATATCATCATCAAAAGAAGGAAGTTTGGAAGAGTACACACCAAGATGTTAACTGTGGTAAGATTGTTAGTATTTTTGTTTTGCTTATTTGTATTTATTTTTTCAACAAAGACTACGGATTGGTTTTACAATACTTTAAAAAATCACTCCCATTAGGACAGCTGGATGCAGATCCATGCCGTAGACAAAAGAGGGCTTGCGCCCATAGCTATCCAGCTTTGTGTTACACTCTGCTTAGGGTGGCTGAAATTTCCAGGTAAGGCCGCAGAAGGAAAGAGACTTATGTGCTATAGAGATGAACTCCTAGATCTTAGAAATAATATCCTGCTACCCACCCAATTTCCAGGAAATGGAAACTCCTTGCCCAGTTTAAGAGTAGTTCAGGGTCACTGAAGTGAAGGGGTGGTTACATCTGCTCTTCGGCGAAAAAATGTCTTAATTTTCCTTCCATCAGCTTTCCATTTCAAATAAGTTTTGCCACGGAAGTTGTCTTTTATTCACAACTGTCCGCCTCCTCCTTTCTCATCGATGGCCCGTCCTTAATCACAGCTTCTTCCCTCCGTCTTCACAACACAAAGACAAACACATAACCGTACACACAATGTCTCCCCTCTCCTTCCATGGATAGATCTATTTATCTATCAAATTGCTTCAGTCTTTTTGGAAACACATGCTGTTTCCCTGAGCAGGAGAGCTCTGAAATAGGAGTCAGAAGAATCTAGTCGGTTGCACACTGTCCACGCCTGTGAGCGAAGGAGATCCGAGGTTCTGTTGGCTATTATCATTCAGGCCCTTTCTTGGAGACAAAGGTCACTTCAAGTAGGGGTATTCTGGAATTTGAGCGATGGGGCACAAGACTGAAAAAAGAAGGGGAGGAGAGGTAGGTAGAGTGGCCTGCCTCCCGGGAGACGTGGGGGGAGGCATGGCCTCACTGGGGAAAAGCTGCAGAGCCAGATAGGTGGCCAAGATAGCCAAGTTAGAAACAAAAGCACAAATTAGCCAGCCAGCACAGTCATGTCCGAATACCACGTCCATAATTTATGTCTCCTCACACCCCAAGATGCCTAATGATTGAATTCTAAATGACACCAAGAAGGCACCTCCAGATCCTTTGTGGATATGAGCGAAATGGGCTTTTGAAAACACGCCAGGACCACAAACTCCTGAGAACAAAAAAACACAATTTTTTAAAAAGAAAAAAAAAAAAAGCAACTTGGCATCGATTCATAGAGAATGGGATTAGATTTAATTAAAGAGGGGAACCCCCAACTCCATCTGGTTCTCTCCACATCAGCACTAGGGAGGGATATTAGAGCAAGAGCTCGGGATTATTTCTCGGCTCTCATGGATTTCCTCCTCAGGGATGAAATATAAATTCCAAACCAACCTTTGTTTCAGAAATCACAAGCTGGACACCCTGGGCTTCCTGACTGTTTACGTTTTCTTGAGTCACCTCCATAGTGGAGTGACCCGCTCTCAGTAGCTCCTTGGAAATATACGATTGTTCTGTTTTCTGCAGTGACAATGAATCCTGAAACTGAATGGTGCTAATGTTTTCCAAGAGAAGCAGCCCCGGAGGGAGCCCGCCGAGCCTGCCAACAGAGGGTGAAGAGGATGCGAATTTAATTAATTTCAAATCAACGTAGACACGAGAACCTTTTGCTGTTTCTTCCAACGCCCACTCTTCCTAATGATGGCATCACCTGTCCTGAAGAATGCACGATTGAGAAGCACTGGGAAGAGGCTTGGCTGCCGTCCAGGGTGGCCTCTGAGGAAAGGAGGAGCCGCGTGGTCTTCACCTCTCATCAGGGCCACTTCCCTCCTCTGGGCCAGCCTGCATGCTGCCTGTATTCATTCTGGCCAGCTCTCTCGGTCTTTGTTATCTTTCTGCTTCGTTCCTTGGAGTTTAAATCAGGAAGCTGTTTCATATATGGCTTCCTTCTGGGTCACCTTATTACCTAATTAGCTCTGGATAATTTCCTCTGATTAGTCAAGTCCTCTGATAGGTCATCTGCGTTCGGCAGGAACTTTCCTCCAGGCGAGTTACATCATGGAAAAGACAGAAAACAAAGCGAGTGTTTCACCGTACACATCATCCCAG